GATAGCACCATAATTCCAGATGTAGCCCTTGTGGGGAAACACGTTGGCTACGTAGCGCAGTTTTCCTTTCTTCACATCTTGCTTAATTGGGTTTAAGGGTTCCTTTGTTGCAATCTGAAAGAAAAGTTGCATAAATCCCTCTGCTTTGCTCTCTATGGAAAAAGCAAGCGATTTTTTTTTTTAATGGAACTGACAAGCCAAGAGACCAGGAGCTGACCCTGAAGCCAACAGCAGACACTGGACAGCTCTGTTTTCCTGTTGCATTGTCATCTCCTGGGATATAGTTTTCAGCAGACTCCCAAGCATCAGAATCACATGGGGTTAAGAGCCATAAAATGCTGCTTTAATCAGAAGCCACAGAAGAATACCCAGGCAAACTTCTGCAATCTCAGCCTCCATGCCAGACCTCTAGCATTGAGCAAGTACTGACAGGAGAAGTTAGAAACCACTCTGATTCTGGAGGTGGGATTGAGAAGGAGAGAATCAGCAGAGCCAAAGATTAAGACTCAGTCAGCTCAAGCCCCTTTGCTAGGAACTGTAATGTAGTTACCTCCATTTTAGCATTTGTCCATCGAGGTACTTCCACAACCATGTTGAACACATTCTGAAGAAAGCAAAACATCAATGAGTGGGAAGGAAGACCACACTTTAAACTAGGAAACACATGCCAGCCAGCTCCCATGAAACCCTAAGATTTTTTTCTGTGTTTTTTTTTTTTTTTATGCAGCTGATGAAACTCTCATAGCCCAGTCAGTCACATGTCATCACTCAAAGCTGAATCCCAGAAAATACCCCAGCAAAGGCCAGATTGAGGTTACCCACACATTCTCCAGATTACCCCTACATTCTCCATCAGTTGCCACCTACAAACATCCCCATCACATTCCTAGGACACAGAACAGCAGGTTAAATGAACTGAAGACAGCTGCACACAAACTATCCTGGACGTAACAAAATGAGGTTTGGGGCATATTTATTAAATACAAAGTGCTTAATGTTCCAGCAAGGGCTGCTCTGGCCATCTAGAAAAGATAAGACTAACAGGAACAAGCCACCAACTTAATAATGTGGGTATCCATGTACTGCCCTGAATGACCGAGGACATCGCTCCCAAATATCTGTCATGATGCAGGGAAGGATGCCCTCTCTCCAAGCTGACATCCTGTAAAGAAGACCTCGTTAGTGGTATGGTGTGAGGATAAAGGTGGGGGGAGGAGAAATGCAGAAGTGCATCTTGCAGTATTTAGTTTACAGATGATGCTTGAAAACATCTCCTGCTGATCCCGTTGGGCTGAGGCCTCTTGAGACCTCAGTGTCAGCCTCCTCATCCAGAAAAGCTTTTCCACACTTGAACCTCAACATCTGCTGCTTGAAGAGATTATGGCTTTTCAACAAAAAGTCAAACCTTGCTCCCTAGCCTGGACAAGGTTTCTAATCCCCACCTTAAGCCGTATTAGCACGGCAAAGTCCCTCGAACCTGTATTGCGCCATTATTAGACTGATACCGTGCAACAAGCACTGCTACATCACTGACTTTGCTCACACCCTGCCCTAGCAGAGGTTTATTACCCCCCTTAATTGCAGGGGTCACTGCTCATTTGTGTTTTGCATGTAAAAAGGTAGACCCTATTTTTATTCCTAACTGGAGGAGAGGAATGAGGCACTCGGATCAGGCTGGGCAGGGTGCTCACGGCTCTGCAGGCAGGGAAAGGTGACTTGGAGCTGCATCTTTGTAAGGCTTGGAGTTCCCCCACTGTCAGATCTGCCTTGGCCTGAGACACTCAGTGAGCAGTCCAAGGTCATTCCAAGGCACTCAGGTACAGATAAGACCAACACAGCCCAGCCCTAGACCGGAAAAAACACCCTGCAATCCTCTCAGCGTCTTAGGAGTCTAAGGATAAAGATCAAGGAGCCCAGACAGAGTGAGACAACCTTTTGCTCCGAGCTGGGCTCTGTAACAGAGCTGGCAACCCACCTGCTCAGTAATGAGTTAAACCTCAGTGCAGAGGCACTCGAGCCACAGAGGGAGGCCTGCTGTGATCAGCACCATTGTGTAACTCTGGGGACTGAGACCTTCGGTGCCTGGGACTCTTTTCTCTGAATGACTTGGCACGGAGGGGCTGGCAGCAGCCCTGTGTGCCTCAGGTAAACACCAGTAGCTTGGTTTCCCCTGTTAAGCATTACCAGTCCACGGAAATCATCTCCACCTCTGTGCTCACTCCCCTGCTCCTTCCTCCCCTGTTCTGCGAGCGTCTGCAAAGCAGGATTATCCGGATTTGCCTTGTCTGGGGTTACCTTTCAGACACCTGCACTGAAAACTGCTTCCCACTCAGCCATAGGAACTGCTTCGCCTCTGTCCTTGATGACTACAATCCATCATTTCCCTTCTGAGCAGGCAAAAGCCACCTCAGGCTTCCTGGAGCACCCCAGGTAACTCCATCACCTCCACCTCAGTAGCTCAATCTGCTGCTTTTTTTTAGACGTTCATCTCTCAACTCAGAATATTCTTTTCCTTTCCCAGAACCACTCTACACCTCTGAATTACATCTCTGTCTAATGAACATTAGCTCATCCACTGCATTTCTCAAGCTGCACAGCTTTTTAGTACATATTAGAAGAAGAGATGAGCTGCAACAGCACAGAACACAGTCAGAGAGCTCAAGGCACCAGTGAATATGCAGTCAGAGAAAAATGAATCACAACCATTTTGGCTTCCTGGAGCTGGGGCTTTTTTGGTTCAGAACAGCCTAATTTGACTCACAGCTGGCTGCTGAAAGGATGAGAAAGCCCTGCAGCACCGCATGGGGCAGGTTCTGAGAGGCACAAGGTCCTAGGAGATGCTAAAGCAGGAATTCAACATCCTTACCCTCTGTTCAGTGTTGGATTACACTGCAGGCATAAAGTGGCTGCACTGCAGTCAAACCCCAAGCCTGAAATATGCAGCACCCATAGGAGTGGATGTAGATATTACAGCTGAACAGAAAACCACTTTTTTTAACCCAAAACCCCTTTATGGGTAAACTCAAGCCAACCACTCACATCTCAGATGCAAAAATGAGAATGAGATCACCCATTCTCTTCTCCTGGGTCACTCCACCCGAGGCCAGGACAGCAAGAAACCCACTCCTTGCACAGTCAGGCGATGCCTCCCTCAGGTGCTCCCGCAGTGTGGGGAGCTGGGAGCCTCCCCCGGGTGTTCCACCCCTGATCCCTGGGTGTTTCAGGACCCCCTGGATGTTTTGGGATCCACTGATCCCCAGGTATTTCAGGACCCCCAG